ATTCTTTTTTATATATAAAAAGCTTTTAGCACTACTTTGAAGTACATTATTTTATTATCTAGTGATCAGATTTTGATAATTTTTAGCTTATTAGATTTGTCTCATCAAGACGAATTGAATGGTATCTTGTTTGTACAAATTGAAGTAATATTCACTAAATTATAATAAGCCAAATATCAGTCAAATTATCTAATGATCTAATGATCAGAAATTAATCATTAAAAGCTCACTGGATTCATCTTAATGAGACAATTCTAATGGTTTTTATACCATATTTTTTTGAGTTAATATTAGCGGAGATACACTAATTTAAAAATCTTATAGCAATAGCAATAAAATTAAGGGACATGTCCAGTGACCGTTATCTATAAAATACTATAACTTAATAATAATTGAAAATATTAATAATTCAATTACAATAATTTTAACAACTTGTAGGATTTATTTTGAAATTTTTAGTAAGACTTTTAAGGCATTGTCATAATCATTATTACTTGCAAAACTTATATAAACATCTCTTTTTTACTTTTCTTTTATCATTTTATATAAATTAAACAAAATCTTTATTGTTAAATAAATTTATATACATTTAATCGAAATTACCTAGGCGTTTGATTTTATTCGACTAGCTGCTGCTTCTTTTGATGCTACTTTTGCAGCTTTCTTTGCAACTTTTTTAGCTTGTTCAATATTTGGTGCTGATACTTTACATTTACCCAACATTACTGATATCATTTCTGTGTCAGGCACACTTTTTATAAGTTCTTTTTCTCGTGGCGTCAATTGTGGATCGCTTAAAAAGAATGATGTTGCTGTTTTACATGCTAATAAAAAGGAAGGATGTCAATTAAAACAATAAAAACAAATTAGACTAGGCATGATTGATTATGCACCTTTTCCTTTCTTCGTTTGTCCAGGAGTTAATTTGACCTTGTATTTGTACTTTTGTAAAGAAATATATGGTGCACAAACTGGGACAGCGAAAAGTAAATTATCTTCGGGTAGTGGTAATCCTGTCAATGTATCTAATACCGTCAAACTTTCCTATAAAATAAAAATTTGAATTAATAATAACAATTAAAAAATCAACAATAAAAAATTAATAACGTTACCAAAGTCTCGGTTTCCAATACAGTAATGTTTTCTTCCTTAAGAAGTTGCCGAATTTCTTCTTCTTCTTCATTCTTCACATTAGAAACCTTAAATAAAAAAATATATATCTTTAAATAAATCTCACGTGTATTCTGATTGTGCAACAAACAAATATTTTTAAAACATACTAATTCCTGCTCATTAAAATCTTGTTCGGCTTCTGGATTATGTGAAGATATATCTTGACTTTCAATACGGCAAGGTGATGATATATTTTTTTCTCTATTATTTGGTTTTGATGCATTTTGATTTATAGATTCTTTTTTGCCTTTCTTTCCTTTATTTTTTGGAGCTTTATTTGACTGCATAATCATGTATATTTTATCAAATATAAAGAAACAAAATATAAATTTAATTAAACAATTTTAATAAACTTACACCAAGTAATTCCATACGAAGCATTCTTTCTTCTTCATCTTGATCTGCATATTTATCTTTCAATTTTTTCATTTTGCCTTTTTTACCGCGAGGTAACTGAGATGATTGTTTTGTTTGCTATATCAAATAAGAATAAGTTTCAGTCAATATAAATGCCCAAAAATTAATTTAATTATTCCAAATATTATATAATACCTTTTCTTTACCCGCAACGTTTGAATCTTTCTTATTAGTTTGTTGATTACTATCCAATCCTTCAAAACTGGTATCTCCTATGATAACTTGTTTTTGCTTTTTCAAAACTTTTCTTTCTTTAACTGATATATATTTTTTTTTAGTGGCCTACGAAACGTATAAGGATTCAATTATAATCATCTACAAGAGATAACCCAATGATAAACTCGAAAAAAAATTTATAACAAAAATATGTACTAGCTTTTCACTCCCTTGAACTGCTTCGTCTTGATCTACACCATATTCATCCAAATTATATTTGTCCCATTTCGATTTATCAATATATTGTACTTTTTTAGCAGGCGATGTGTCATCACTAGATCCATCAGAACCTAGTTGTTGTTGTTGTTGTTGCTGCGATTTTTGATTTTCCTCCAGATCTTCCTTTTGCTTAGTGGCAGTTCCGTTGACTTCATTTTTATCATGATATTCTGGTTCTTCTAAATGTAATTCAAAATCCTCTTTGTCTTCTTGAGTTTATTTATTATTAGTATGATAAAATTATGAATTAACTACGATTCATAGAAGTTTATTTTAAATATTTACCAGGAGTGTTTATATCGTCACCATTCAATGATTCCTCCTTGATTTCTTGTTCCTATAAGATAAAGATAGGTCTATAAAATATATACTTATATTAATAAGATAAAACACTTTAAATAAATAACATACTTCTTTTGGTGCTTGAATATTATCGTCCACTTCCACTTCCTCTTCATTTCTTATTGGACGACGTTCATGCAAATGGTTTGCAATACTTTGTTCATCCAATCGAAAAAGTAAACCAAAACCATAAACTAATTGAACCGGGGGCAAGAAATTCTTTTTACCTCGAATCATAAAAGAACCCGTCGTGAGATATTCTCCTGTCGGAGCGGTTTTGGAAACCTGAAATAAATTTATTAAATATTAAATTCGATATACTTTAAAAATTTAAAAATTTGAATAAAATACAAACCTGATCTGCATTAACCCAATAGGCGCTTGTTATTATTTTAGCCTCCCATGCTTTGCTTTGACAAACGGACATGATTCCGGCTTGAAAAAGTGTGCTCGGGGGTATTGGTTGACCCTCATTAGGGTTTTTAATAACAACTGATGCAGCACCATGTAAATCAGCGTGAACATACAAATCACCTATAAGAATTGTGATTAATTAAAACAAATATTGCCAGTTTGCAATAAAACAATTATTAATATATTTTAACTACCTTTACGAAGATGTTTTTTAACTATAAGCTCATTTTGTTGCATATCATGTCCAGCAATAACAAGATAATTTTCTGAAGAAATGAACCAAAAAAACTTTTCAAACCAAAAAGGTTTACGGATCTTATTGATAGACGCTGTAATTTTTGTCTCCTTAAGATCTTGTTTAATTTTCTGTTCAGCACTTTTGAAGGCCTATCAAGAAGGCAAATAAAGAAATGTAAATTAAATCCATTCAAATCATAGAAAGTATTTACGTTATATTCATACTTTATCAGCTGCAGCTAAAGTTTTCACTTGTTTAGATGCAGATTGCTTTTTAACATCATAGTACTTTCTTGCATTCGCGAATGCCGACAAATAAATGTCAACATCAACTTTTTCTTGTACTGTTGGTTGGAGTGTATTGTTTTCATTTTCGGATTCGGTATCAGAAGAATCATAAAATGCCTCGTCATCATTTTCGTATTCTCTAAAATTTTTATATATGGTTGATAAGTAAAATATTTGACTAATCCCATCTCATATTTAAATAGGTCCACTATAAAATACCTTAATAATAAGGTGATCTGGTTTGATTCCAATTTAAATCCAACGATTACTTCTGCTAAAGGATTTTTTTTCTTTTTTTCTTCTAGTACTAAATTTTCCAAATCTTTCCAATCTATAGAAGTAGCAATTGCATTTCTTATAACCAAAATTGCTTGATCTACCATATCCACATTACTCTCAATTAATCTAGCTTTGCGAATATTTGATAACTGAGCATTTTGAAGATTTTCAACGCGCGAATATTGTTCTTTTTTGATAGCTTCCAATTTCTTTAACGCAGCTTTCTCTTGATTTCTCTGTTTAATAATTAATTTTTGACTTTCCATAGAAGAATAATATTCATCAACCGCTAAATCAAACGAATCGAATTCTTTATATGATTTAGATTTATGTTGTTCGAAAAGAAAGGGATGGAACTCATCATAGCTTTATGTAAAGTTAAGATAAATTAGAAAAAGTTAAGTAAATAAAATGTCAGGATTAGCTCAAAACCGTCTAAGAACTCACGTATCCCATTCATCATCTTGTTGTGAACTTTCACCTGCTGTAGAAGTATGTTCCGAATGATGAAGCATGATTATATATCCCTTGATTGATATTAAAGAATATAATGTTAATATAATGTTTATATCTATGAAAAATAAAAATATATTACCTTTTGCTTAGTTTTTGCACTTTCTTCTAAAATACGGTCTGCATCTTTAAATCCTGTTTCTAATGCAATAAAATGCTCCGAATCTAAAAAATTTTAATTTCATTAACATAATATAAAAGGTAATATAAAAATGAGTTATAAAGATCTAACCATCAGAAATTACTATTGTTCCAACTTTCATATTAGGATCCAATTGAGCAAAACGAATCGCATGCTCAGTCAGCGCCTGTCCATAACCTATATAAGAATAAAATCCAAATTAAAAAAAAAATGAAAAATGAATAATATAAAATCATCATATATTAATAAGATTAGGTTATCAACATACTCAACCTATTATTTAAAATCTTTCTTAGTGGTTCTTTGGCTTCTTTATTAGATGAAGTAGTTAATGCTTCTTGTAATCGTGATCGTGTTACTGGTTCAGCAACACGCGCAACGGTGTTAACATTATATTTTTGACCAACTATCATTTGCTCATGTTGAACGATACGTATCAAAGTCAAAATATTATAATCTTGATCGGTAAAAATAATATTACCCTATAATCACATTAATTTCAAAATGAAGAATTCACAAGAATTAAAGTATATTCATATTAAAATACAAGAATAAAAAGATAAAATACCGATGCGTAAAATTCAGCTATAATATGATATGTGGAGCCTTCTGTAGCACCCGCAAATTCAAAATCAATAATTCTATCAACACCGAGTTGTCTGACATTGATGAGTCTTCTTGTTCTAATGTGTTTTCGCAACTTGTATAAAAAAAAATGAATCCATTAATTTTATTACACACGTTAATTATTTACTATAAAAAAAATACCTTTATACAAAACGTCGATGGAGTTATCGACTTATCACGAGAAAATTGCGTTGTATGAATTCGGATTCCAGATTCAATCAACAAAAGTTCCTTTCTATCCGGCTTATTTGATCAATTATTAAGTTATTCCAATGAAAATTGTGAAAAGGTAAGGAAAAGAAATGAATTTCGTTTAAATTCAAGAAAAAAAAATTTACGAGGCACAAATAATGTTGGATATAAAATTACCTTTGAAAATTTAAGAAGATAAGTTTTTGGGTTTATGTCGTAGATATTCTGTAACCTAAGATCAACCAGCCTATAGTGAATTTTTTAAAAAAGTGTTATTAAATGAACGTCTTATAACATTTGCGAACCAAAAAAAAGATTCTACCTACCTTTCCCTCAAATCGGACACTGTTGCTCGGATGTCGAGTGCTGAAAATCTTTGTTTCATTTTTTGCTTTCTCAGAAAAAGTTTGATCTATCCAGACCATTCTTTATGTATAAAATGTTATAATCACATCACGAATAATATTCCATGTGACAAATAAAGCTAATTTACTTTTGTTTTGGGTTTAATTTACTCGAAAGCACGTGATTATTAAATACTTTTTTTTTTTGATCCTTCCCACACTTCAAATTAACCTCTGTTCTGTTCCAGTCGGTTTTGAATATTCGTTTCTTTTTCTGTCTTTCCTTTTTTTTTTTTAAAAAAAAAAAAATTGACGCGGGTGAAATAACTAAAAAAAAAATTACTGTAGTATTAAGAATTTTTGAAATTTTTTTTCTTTAAAAAAAAAAATAAATAAATAAAATAAAATAATTCTTTGATCAGCAGATTCATCTACCATAAATAAAATGAGATTGAGGTCAAAACGAGATACTATTAGCTACGTCCCTTCAATAAAGTGTGAATCATGTTCAATAACTTCAAATAAAGAGCCGTTGGAATGTGAAATCACAATTGGCGGTTACTATTACGTGAAAGTCACTAATAACATGGAGGATGAATCAAATTATCGTATAGGCGAAGTTCTTGCTGTTCGAATTAATGATGAAAATATTCCCGAATATTATATTACTTATGCATCACATAATAGAAGACTTGATGAATGGGTGAGAGCTGATCAAATTGACACCAAGAGAGAGATGGAAATCAAACATGAAGATAATATGATTTCTAACGTAAAATCACCAATGATACTTGAAGATTCTCAAGATGATGTTGTTACCTTTGCTTCGGAAACACCAGTAAAAAGCGAAGATTCCCAGGATAATTTCCTTTATAGTCCAGATTCACCTGCATCACAATTGCTGGCTTCTTCAGAAGTGAATGGAGATGTTGGTGATGATGATTCAAATTTAATGCATGATGGATCTCCGGATTTAAAATACTTAACACCTCCACCTTCAATCAGTTCTAATAATTCAAGTCCAAAGATTGATGAACCTTCAACTGCACAAATAAACCAGGATAAACCACGAGTTACTTCAGGTGGTAAGAGTTTCAAACCAGTTAAACGACGCGTAAAAAATATCAAGGAAATTCAAATGGGAGAAGATCTGATTGAACCTTGGTATTTCTCACCATATCCTGAAGAATTTAATGGTGCTCCTGTTGTATACATTTGTGAGTTTTGCTTGAGTTATTACATAAGTGAATTACAATTCAGACGTCACAAGAAAAAATGTAATTTGTTTCATCCTCCGGGAAATCAAATTTACAAAGATGAAAAAGAAAATCTCGCTATGTTCGAAGTTAACGGAGAAAGGCAGCCAACTTATTGTCAAAGCTTATGTTTACTTTCAAAGCTTTTCCTTGATCATAAGTTACTCGCTTATGATACATTACCATTTCTATTTTACATATTATGCTACTATAATGAAGATGGGTATTGTATAATCGGATATTTCTCTAAGGAGAAATATAATATGGAGAATAATCTCGCATGTATCCTTACATTGCCTCAACATCAAAGGAAAGGTTACGGTAGGTTCTTAATAGCATTTTCATATACAATATCCAAAATGCAAGGTAAAGTTGGCACACCTGAAAAGCCTTTATCAGATCTTGGGTTATTATCTTATCAGCAATATTGGATGGAAGCAATTACTGAAGTATTATTAAAAGCTAATGAAGAAATTTCAGTTGATGAAATTGCTTATCAAACCGGTATTGATCAAAAGGATGTTCAATATACTTTACACTTGATTGGAATTTGTGTTTATTTAGGACAACCTTGTATAAAGATATCAAATGGATTAATAGAAATGGTTAAAGGTTCAAAGGCAAAAAGGCGTTGCACAATTAAAAATGAATATTTTGACCAACAATGGGTGCCACTAGTTTATAATCCAGTTCACTGTCGATTCCTTTAAGAAGAATTGAAGGGGTAATTATAAATTCATGAATTGATAAATTTAAATAATTGATACAATTTATTTAAAAGATTTCATCTTTCAGAATCGAAACGAAGAACCTTTGTTGTCACGTGACTAATTTTATCCAATAATATTAAAATCATATTTTGACTTATTTGTTGATTTTACCTATTTTTTGTTATAACTTGCGCTAAGATTTTGGAACCTAAATCTTTTAAAACTTAAAAAAAATAATCCGGTAATTTTGTTTTTTAAGTTCTACTAATTTACCCGAAAGAAGATCTACATATGTGACGAACGAATTATGAAACCGGACCCGAATTTATGATTTATTATGTAAAAAAAATAAATAGACAATAACAAGTAAGTAAATTATTTTTGTAAAGCAAAGATATTAACAAAGGTGAAATTTTGGATAGAAGAGAACTTAAAAGAAATATGAATATTTTATATAAGAAATTTTTACTAATATATTTTTATTATAATGATCAATCATAATTATCTCAATTATTTTTTAATCATTTAATATATTTTTTTTTATATATGAAACTTAATTTCATTTTGAGTTTAAAAAAACCTATTAAAAGTTTTAATAAAGATATTTATTTATTATAACATATAATTTAATTAAAACCATAAAAAATTACAAATATTTTTTAAAATATCATTTCTTTCTACCATAAAGTACTTACAAAAATAGTTTTGATAGTTATTTTTAGTTAAATAAAAAACCAATAAATATTATTATAATTTTTTAATATATTGAAATTATAATATTGTAAAATATTATGTTATAATTGATTATGAAAATAGTATTTGTATATCATAATAATATTATTTAATATTAAAATTTAATAATATTAAATTATTTTCTAAAATTTAACAAAAGGTATTTTATTATTAAATATTTTAAGTCAATATTATTTTGCCTTAAAAGCTATATATGTAATCTAACTATTTTGTATGATAATAATTATTAATACATATAGTAATATTTATAATATATATATTGTAAATTGTATAAATAAGTGTTAAAAAAAATATATTATAAGTATAAATATATATAATTTAACTTTTAACATTTATAAAATAGTTTAGATTGTATATATTCTTAGTATTTAATTAATAAATAAAAATTATATATCATATAAATAAAAATTTATAAAATCATATAATTTTATTTTCTGATTATTATTAATTTATAAGCTATAATTAAATTTTAAAAAGATTTATTCTAAAATACTTATATAGGTATAATTAAAAATATAATATTATTTATTAATATTTTTATATAATAAATTTATCTTTAAATATTATATCTTTTAAAATTGATTTTATAAAAATTATTATATTAAACAAGATTTATTATTTTATTTTAAATTAAAAAAATATATTTTTATATTATTAATTCATATAATAAAATTTATACACCTCTTGAAACTAAAAATAAAAAATGTAAATATAGTAAACTCATGGTATAACAAATCTTAGGGTCTGAATTTCAACTTTATTATAAGCTTATAATAAATTTTTTAAAGAATTATTCACTATAATAAGATATATTTAATATATTTAATTTAAAAATTTGTTATATCAAGGTTTAATTGTATTTATTTTAAAAAAGTTATGAATATAAAAACAAAAAATAATTTTTTATATAATTTTAATAGAAACTGGTTTTTATGAAAGATATATTTATAATAAAGAATTTATATAATATGATTGTATAAAAAATAATAAGATTGACTGTATTTATTTAAAATATTTTAAGATATTTCTTATTTTTTTGCTTTTTTTATGTTTCTATTCTTATAACTTTTATTTAATTTTATTATTAATAATATATATATATTTTTTTTTTAATTATTTAATAAAGTAAAGAATAATATATTTTAAAATCATTTTAATTTTATAAATATTATATTAATTAAATTATATAATATATCAAAAAATAATAGAATTTATATATTTCTTAATAATTATTTAAAAAAATTTAAATTTAAACTATAAAGGTTATTAGTTAATAATATTTAAAATAATAATATTTAAATTATAAGGAATATATATATTTTATAATAAAAAGAATAAAAAGGAATAAAATTATAAAAAATATATAATTAATAAATATGATATGTTTAATAAAGTATATTCAGATTCAATATTAATTCAAAAAAATTTTTAGACTTTGTTTCTTTCTATTACAAAGTATACATATAGGAGGTTTGTTAGGAAAAATATGACTCTGAGCATTTTTTATTAAAATTTCAATTTTTATTGTATTTTAATTTTTGATAATGTTAGATTAAAATATGATAAAAATTAAAATTTTAATAAAAAATTCTCAGAACCACATTTTCTTAGTAAACTTTTATATAATATTTTAATATTTTTATATATAATAATTTTTAATAATTAAAAAAAATGGTTTAATATTAAATAAATTTTTTTAATTATTAATTATATATAAAGATAAACATCTTAATTATAGAGTTGCAACTAAGGTTGCTAGACGAAATTCAGAGTTTAGACAAACATTTAAATAGTAAAGGTAAAACTTAGTTAAAACTTTATTAAAAAATCTGCAAAATTCAGAAAAAGGTAAAACTATATCAAAGCTTATAAAAATGGCGAAACTA